CCCGGCCCCGCCCGGCTCGTGGCGTTCAGTCCTCTGTTCAGCAAACGCAGCCGGTGCACGCGGGGCGCCGGGGCCCGCAGGGCTGGCCCTGTCCTCTCGGCGCTCAGGTCCGGGAGTGGGGCAGAGGGAATCCACCGCGAAACCACCCCTGCAGAGATCACTGCAGCTTTTTCAAGGGTCCCGCGGGGACAACTCTTACCACGAGCCCCCACCAGCGGGGACGACACAGCGAGACCCCGTCTAAAGTGCTGGCGCGGCGTCGCGCGCTCGTGTTCCCAGCTGCTCGTGCGACTGAGGGAAGAGGAAAGCGACATAGGGGACACCCTGTCTAAAATAACTCACTGATCATTTGTGCCTTAGGACAGTTACTACTGAGGTGGGGCTTGTCTCCTTCCCGAGCCTCGGGAAGATGGGTGGGTGCCCGAGGTCGCAGCGCCGTCAGTGGCGGAGCCAGAGTCCCGTTCCGTTTGGCGCTACGCCCGGCGTCCTCACCCTCAGCGGGCAGGACGTCGGCCCGCTCCGGTCACCTCCCCCTGCCCGGATGCGGGCTCAGCGGCCCGGGTCTCCAGCGCCCCCTTCTGACGAGGCTGGGATCAGTTCGCCAGTCGCTCCGGGGGCCGGGGTCTCTGCCCCTCCCCAGGGGAGGCGATCCCGTGACGTCACTGCCTCTTTAAGACCCCCGCCTCCGCCCCCAATCCCAGACTCGGCCAACGAATCCCTCCGGTCACCTTCGCAGGTGAGCCTGGGGGAGGCGTGCGCACGGCGGGAAGGGAGACTCCTCGCGGGGCGGGTGCAGGGTCCGCGCGGCGTGGGCGCGGTGCGTGAGTCCGGCCGCACGCCTGGAGGCGCCCACCAGGTCGGGGAGCCCCTGGGCGCCGGGCTGCGTTGAAGTCCGGCCCTTGGGGAGCTGCGGAGGGTTAAACGCCCCTCCCCCCAGACAAAGACGCCGAAACCCGTAGTGCCCCTCCCCCACCGACCTTGCCTCTCCGGGGCGGGCCCCCCTCCCCCTTTCCCTCTCCCTCCCGCGCGGAGTGGACCCTGCTTCCTGCCCCGCCATTAACCCGGCTGGGGTGGCCGAGGAGGAGCAGGCCAGGCGTCCCCTAATGAGCCAAGCCAGAGTGTGGAGAGGGAAGGGGGCGAGGGCAGGGTCGCATTAGGAGGGGACGGGCCTGGGTGCCTCGCTTGGAGTGGCCCCGGCACGAATTCGGCGGGAGGTTTGGTGGGCGGACCTGACTCCAGGCCAGCGCGCGCGGGCCGGCTGGGGCCAGTGCCTCCGAGGGTGTGAGGTGGGCCAGGTGAGACAGGGAGTCGAGAAGGGCCGACCCTGGGCCCGCACTGCCGAGGCCCGCCGTACGTTTAGGTCCCAGCTGAGTGGATGAGGGCCTTTGGGACATGGGGAGGCACTGAAAAGCCCAGGGCCTAGCCGCTTCTGTGGCCCTGCGACGGGAGTGGGATGGAGGACAGGTGCAGGCCAGGGTGTCCTGATGGAGGCTCGCAGGCCCCTAGGGTTTAGCTTTTTAGGGAAGCCGTGTCTTGGGGGAACCCTAGCCTGGCATTTTGGCTGGGATACACTAGGAAAAGTCCCAACCTGGCCCCAGGGAGGGCGGAAGGGCGAGGCACAGCGAGTCTGCGGGAGGCCACTGCTCAGCACGCCCGCCTGCCGCCCGCCTGCCCCTCCTCGGAGTGGCAGCGGATGGGCGGGGCTGACCAGGAGCTGTGAGGAGGCTCAAAAGGAGGGGCTCCCTGAGGATGGGAGAGGGCCAGGCTCCCACCAGAGCTTAAGATCAGGCTGGTATTCAGCAGCTTGGGCTGGGCAACAAGTTAGGGTGAGGGGCCTGAAGACTGGGTGCTGGGAGGGAGCTGGCATGGCTGGTCTTGGTGCTGCAGCTGACAAGTTTTGAGCCCGAAACTCACTGTTAGAGGCAAGTCCCTGTCTGTGCCCCATGGAAACCACCTGGAACTTGCACTCTGCCTCTTCATGCCCCTTTTTGCCACTTTGCTGCTTGGTATAGTTCTGAGCGGTGGCTCAGGCGTGGACTGGCACGGTGTGGCTTCCCACTCTTCCAGCGTCTGCGAAGAGCCAGGACGGCACTGCCGGCAGATCCACTGCAAAGCCGTGCCTGTGCACAACCAGGCGGACAGCCGAATGCTGGCCACCCAGTGCCCCTGTGGCCCATAATAAGAGCTCAGAGGGTGTGCCTTGCCCAGGTTGCAGGACCTGGCGGCCAGCTCCTAGCATGCATGCCTTTGGGGTCTGCGGTAGCCTGGGCACCTGGTGTGGGGTCTGGGCCAGCCAGTCTTACGGCACTGTGCCTTTGTCCCCCATGCAGTGTGCCTGCTCTGAGCTGACATGGCTTCCGCTGGTCTGCAAATCCTGGGGATGGTCCTGGCACTGCTGGGGTGGGTGAATGCTCTGGTGTCCTGTGCCCTGCCTCTGTGGAAGGTGAGCGCCTTCATCGGCAACAACATTGTGGTGGCCCAGGTGACGTGGGAGGGGCTGTGGATGTCCTGCGTGGTACAGAGCACCGGCCAGATGCAGTGCAAGGTCTACGACTCAGTGCTGGCGCTGCCGCAGGACCTGCAGGCGGGACGGGGCCTGGGCGTCATTCGCCTCTTGG